GCTGTTCATTTATCATCAATTTTTTTATGTGATACGATTTACTTTTTTCTGACTACGCAAAAAATTATGTAAATAAGTAAAAATAATAAAACAACTACATTATTAAAAAGAAAAGTCACACAATTAAAAATATAAAAATTTCAATTTTGGATAAAAAGAGTTATCTTTGTGGGTGTTTTTGAGTTCCTATATTTGGATGTATGATGTTTTTGTACATTTGGATGTATGCTCATTTCGTACATTTATTTTAATAATAATAATAATAATGGTAATAATAATAATAATTGAAATAAGAATAAAATGAAAAATATATGTGGATAATTTTTAAGTCACTTATGGAAGAACTGGAAGAAGTTTGAAGTTGGAACAATTGGGAGGAATTAGAAGAACTGGGAGGAGTTGGAAGAAATTGGAAGAAGTTGGAAGAAACTAGGAGTTAAAAAATGTTGGAAGTTGTGAGTTAGAACCCAAACGAACAGAGCCTTAATATATTTTTATGGAACTTTTACATTGGAGCTTTTCTTTTTTACATTGGTAATGGATAAATAGACATGACATATCTTAGGGGAGGGGAGGTACCTTGTGCATGTTTTTTACATATGATATTGTTCTAATCGATGAAATGCGTGAGGGAGTAAATAATTGGTTGGAGGTGCAGTGGCGAACCTTGGAGTCTAAGAATGAGTATATGGAGTGCAACTCCAACGGCAAAGAGAAGAAGATTTGTTCACAACCCATACCCAAATAATGAGATTGATGGGGATGTCGTCAATTGCACAGTGCAGGCCGGATAAAAGAAGGCTCGATTCAACTGTCTTGTGCGACAAGAATAAGCCAATGAAACTGACAAGCAAATTTTATCAAACAGTAGCTAAATGAGCTATGTTGTAAGGGGAAGAGTGTTAGTCGGTGAAGAATACACGTGCAGAAGATGCAATCGACAGAGATGAGAGTGCTAAGTTGGATCTGCAGATGTATGACTTATGAGGATGAATAGAGCTTAAAACAAGGAATATCCGTGACAAAGTGGTATGGCATTTGTAGATAATAAGATGCACATAGTTAGATTGAGATGGTATGAACACGTGCTGAGGATGTGCAAGAGGTTAGAGGTGGAAAATTTGAGTAGGGGTACCTGTAATCAAAATAGAGTTTAAGCGAGGTGATTAGATAGATGAGCGTGTTGCTTGTGCATCTCATCGATGACATGACCCTAGATAAGATCATTCAGAGTTCAAGAATTAAAGTTGTAGGGTAGCTCTAGATAAGAACTCTGTGTGTAGGGCCTTCAAGATTAGTTTGATATAGTGAGGTCTGTGTACGGTGACCCTTATTGTCTCTCTCTTTTTGGTTTACCTTGTTGAATAGTACTAAGTTATGTCTTTTGTGCTTGAACTGGTGAGCTGGGCTCTTTAAGAAACATTCTCTACCTTTTCTAGGTAGGGGTGGTGTCAGTGCACACCCATCCCCAGACCCCATTTGAGATTTTACTGAATAGGTTTTTGTTGTTGTAGAGCATGATACTGACTAACCACAAGAATGGAAGACGAGTAGGTAGGGGGAGGAGGATATTGTTTGGAACAATTGTGTTTTTTTCAAGTGATTCAATGTTAAAAATAACATTTAGAGTGGAAGTTGTGTGCATTTTTTTGGTACTTTTGAGGTCTTTCATTGCCAGTGGATCTAAAAGAGTTATTCTTGACAACATTTTAGCTTCGGGTAAATGATTGACTAAATCAAAATGACACATTTTTGAAGCCTTGGGTAGTAAATGCAACAATGTATCTAGTGTCTAACCGAAACCTCTCTATTTTTTTGTACAGAATTGCATACATCATGACCCCCAAACCCCAACAGAATATGGATTATACCGAGTTTGTTGCTGTACTCGAGAAAACCAACTTTAGTGGCTAATAATTTATCATAACATTGTCTGTTGTGGAATGACAGGTTGCAGATGTGAAGAGGATAAATGGACTAATAACAGATCTCCAAATGTTTGCTCGGAAAACACTTAAGATACCATTACCGGGACGGCATCCTCCATCTCCATGCCTGTCAAATGGTTTTGATGTACAAGGGTATATTCCATTTGTTTTATGAGTAAAACTTGTTTTCCTCAAATTTTCTGCTATTTCATTTTTTCATTTGTTTTTAGTAACCATATAACATCATATGTGCATCTTGTTTTCCCTGTTTTAGTACAACAATTTTCTTTCAGTCCAGACTTTGTTCATCCTGCATGCACTCATCATTGCCATTTTTGCCACCTTGATCCATCCCTCACACAATTCATTTTATCTGTTTCATGTTGGTCATCACCAGTGTTGTTTAATAGTGTCCATGGCCGAATGGCGTAGCAGATTTTGTGCAACCACAATTGTCATTTTATGAAGCATCATCCGCCATGTTGGTGCACATTCGTCATTCATAATCCACCACATGCTATTCATAACAATGGTCATCATCTTTGCCCATAACTATGTAAACTTAATGAACCATACGTGTTTGCCAATTCTTTCTCTATATTATTTCTTATAAAACACTTGTGAGGAAGCTTATTTATATGAAACTTTTATAGCTAATTAGTTAATTAGACCACCTGAGGGTATTTATCCATAAGTGTGACAAAATAAGCTAGGTCGCATCTCATTCTTTTGGGCCAGAAGCTAACTTTTGGTCCTTGGGGTGATTTATAAGGAAGATCCAAAAGAGAATTTATTGTATATAGGTTCTCCCAAGTAGATAATTTTCCTTGAAGAAGTTAGCCTCTACTAATTATTCCTGATTTTCTATCTTCACTTTTGGGTTAAAGTCTGTCTTAACTTTGCAAGTCTGTCTTAACTTTGCATGCTTCACATCCATATTTGCTATGTAAAACATGAACTGTTGGCAATACGTTTTATCGACTTTATTGTTAAAGATTAATTTATTAATTTTTGATGGCATGTATTCTGTTTGTTTTTCATGTGAGGGTGAAATTTTATATGGAGTATCATTTACTCTAAATATTAAAATCTTACTGTGTGTCCAAAAAATATTTCTGTTTTAAAATGGTTGTAAATTATTTGTTCTAAATTCCTGGAGTAGAACTTAAAAATGGTTGCTAATTTCAGCAGTCTGTCTCTTAATCTTCTAGACTGTGTAGGATGCATGGTGCCTAACCACAACATTCTTTTGGCAGAGATAGCATTTCAGAGCGGACCCCGCCGAACCGCAGACACTCAGACCTGTTCGATACATTTCAGTCACTAAAACTGAAACCTCCCCCCACCCAACGAAAAGTCTCCTCAGCAATGAGCAGCTTACGAGGTTATTACGGCCTTGAACCATCATCAGATCAGAAAGCTGCATCTGAAGGTGTTGAAATGGCCAGATACGAAAAGGGTAGGTCCCCTTATCTCGACGACAATGACCCCCCATCACCCATCTCCAACCCCGCACTCGGTTTACACCGAAAATGTAAAAGCGTAGCAAATGGATTCATGACAGAGAATGGCCAGTTGGTGGATCATGAATCTAATCAAGAAACTAAAGATAGCGGCTCTAACAGATTGTGTGACAAATCTTTCAGAAGGCGTCAAAAGTCTGAGACTGATTTCTCCCGTACCCAAGAAATGCTGATGAAGGAAGATAACAGCTCTAGTGGTGGATTTACAGGCATTACTCCTAGCAAAGGCTTGGCTCTGAGACCTAATCCAGCCAGCCGTACTGCCTCACTTGCCAATGGTGAATCTTCCGTGATAAATCCCATTCCTTTTGTGTTGGGTGATTCACCTATTGCTGACATCAGTCTTGACAGAGTTCGAAAGTCTTCCAGCGCATCAAATTTGCAGGACTCAGACAGTAGTAGCAGTAGCAGCACATTGGCATCCCTGTGGCCAACCTCAAAATGGAGTTTGACAGATTTTCAGGCGCTTTCGACTTCAGCCATCACTAGATCAATCTTTGATGGCCTACCCAAACCGATTAGCGGACGAAGGAACAAAGCTGCACTTGATTAGTGCCGTTCCTCCTTTGGCTTACACGGACGCTTCCATTGGTATTATTAGTGTCACAGATACAGAAGTGGGGATATAAATAAGAGGTGTAGGGGGTTATATATTTAGATACGGACGTTAAATTTTGGTCTAAGGACATTTCTTATCCCACGTTTCAGATGTACGTGTTAAACTGTTAGTGATTGAACATTTACAGTGTCAGATATTCAGAGTACAGATTTTGGTAAACATTTGCCTCAGATTCGTTCATCCGGAGAGCATCACAGGATATATGTATACTTGGGTGTTTTGTTTTGACAATAGAAGGTGGTATATATTGGAGATATTTAAACCTTTTGGTTTGGGATGGAAATAAAAAGGTGTTATCACCCTTTTAAAACTCTGCTGTTTTGTTTATTTAGTTTAGTTGCTCATTTGTTCTCTTTGTCTCCTATATTCTGTCTTGTTCTGAGATCTAAATGAGTCAACTATGGATTATCCATGATCCATGATGTTCTACTTGTTTATAAATTATAAACTAAATCAAAATGATCCATTGTACGTTGTTTCTTGCTTAGGTCATGTATTATGGCGGGACTTGATGGGGTGTTGCGTGCCTTGTAAGCGGGTAGGTGTGAGTAAATTATGCGTGTTATTAGACTTGAAAGGGGATGTGACCAAAAAGTGATGAGGAGAAGGTCTGTATTATTTTGATTGGTTAAGATAAATGTGTGTTAAATTTTAATTGATTGATTTTTTTTAAAAAAAAAGAAAGGATGGTCACACCTGTGATTAGGGGTGTTCAATCGGATCGATCCGATCCGACCTGATCCGAAAAATCGTATATCCAAAAATTTCGGATCATGTAAAACTCATTACATATCCAATCTGAAAATATTCAGATATCTGAAACTCGGATATCTAAATTTTCGGATCGAATCACTGGATTATTCGAAAAGTTGACTTTTTAGCCAAAATTTACAAAAAAAGAGTAAAATAGAAAAATCAACCCACAATATCAAATTCAGTATAGATTTACTAAAAGTAAAATTCCACCACTAGGTAATGGCCTAATAAAAAATGATATCAAATTCAATTTGGGAGTAACTTTGGTAATTTTGCCTAAACAAACAAAAAAAGCACTACTAAAACAAAAAGTTCCAAAACGCTAATGCAAAAAGTCCAAACTGCTTGAATTCCAAAATCAACATAAAATTGCATTAAACATATAGCCATAATATATATCCATAAAATTTCATTAAACATATAGGAAAAAAATCAGATATCCGATTATCCGAAAAATTCCAGAAATTGAATCCATATCCGATCCAATCTTTCTCGGGTATCCGATCTGAAATATCTGAAAGCTAAAATATCGGATTGGATATCCATTTTTCGGATCGGATCTGCCCGGATCGTGGACGGATATTTCGAATAGGATATTTTTGAACACCCGTACCTGCTGTGGTGCCTTGAAGGGCAATGTCTATTTATTGAAGGTATGGTGTGGTGTGGTGGAGGGCGGCATGAGGAGGGGCTTGAACACCCTCTTTAACGCCCCATAACACATACCTTTACATGAAGTCGATCCTCTACTTTGACTACACCATAATACTACACCATAATGAAGAGCTTGTTTGGCAACATTGTTAGAAGTTAAAGTTAGTATTCTGAAAATGCTATCTAACAGTAACATTTATTAAAATATTTTCAAAGTTACTCCGCACTATTCAAAGTTTATCTAAAATGATGATGTTAATAAAAAATTTTGTTTCCAAACAAGGCAAAAGTTAGGGTTATACAAAACTAGTTTTTTAACCCGTGCCACACACGGGGCGGAACGAAATTATTGTTCTCTAAAAAGTTTCTTCAAAATTTTAAGTTTATGTTCTTTTGGATTCTACTCTATAATCCTTAGGATCTATTTGGTTGAAAGAAAAATACTTTTTTCTAGAAAATTCTAATTCTACTTTCCAATGTTAGGTTACATAAGTGGTAGAAAATCATTTCTTTGGAATAATATTTTCTCAAAGAGATGAAAATAACTTTTGTTTGTTCTGAATCAAAGTTTATTTTTTTACTCAACCCTCAAATACTTTAATTTCTTGATCGAGTTCATCTCTTCTACCACTCCTCCATCATCTCCCCCCGCCCCCACCACCCCCTCCCCGCCCCTGAGAATGGAGCACTATAAAAGATTCAAAATTGATTGTGTATAAAAAATAAATTATGCTCCTCTAAAATATTTTAATTATCTCAAAATATATTTGTTTTTATAAAAACAAAAAATGTTTAGCTTTAATGGAGAAAGTATATGTTTTTTTAATTCCGGTTTTTTATTTCAAATACAAACCAATTTGAATTTTAAAATATTATAAAGAATAGTTATAAATGAAAAAAGCTAAAAAAATGATAACATGCACTCATGCTCATCAACTCATGTGGGTTGGAATGTGTATCAATGCCCCCTTTTAATTAAAAAAGTGAATGAAAAATAGTACGAACCAATGTGGTGCGGGTGCCACCTTTTGAAATGATAGACATTTTTAAATAAGTTTTGAAAACAAATGAGGTGTTCATACCTATATTTCAAACCATTGAGAATGTTGAAACTATTTCAATATGTAACGCCCTGAAACCTGGCCCAAAAGAATTAATTAAATTGTTAGAGCAATTGATTACGAATTGGGCCCAATAAGGGGTTAAAATTATAATTTGGATTTTAAGCCCAACTTTTATGTCATCTCGTAAGAAATATTTTTGTGATCGCGTCGGTTCAGACGGCTCGCGAATCGGAGTTACAGAGCTCAAGTTATGACCATTTAATCAGGTATTTTGGGTCTGAATCCCAATCCTTTTTGGAATGGGACCATTAAATAAACATAACCACACAAACCTTATCTTTCGTCCGTCCGTTCCTTTTTCTTCCTTCTTCTTCTTTTTCTTTCTTCTTCTTCTTTTTCTTCTCCTTCTTCTTCGTCTTTTCCGGCCAACCTCGCCGCCCAGCCGGTCGCGCAAGCCAGAGCCGCTGTCCCTCGCCGCCGGAAGCCCGCCGCCCAGCCGGTCGTCGCCTTCCCCAGCCTCGCCGCCTCATCGCCGACGGATTGCAGCGCCGCCACGCCGAGCGCCGGACGTCGCCTCCACTGCCGGCGTCCTTCCTCGCCGTCGAGCGCAGCGCCGCCGTCGCCGAGCTTCCAGCCGCTGCTTCGCCTTCGCCGGAAACGAGCGCCGCCGTCGCCCTTTGCACAACGGCCATCCGCCGCCGTCGATTGCAGCGCCGCCAGTCGCTGCTCATCGCCGTCGAACTGCCGCTCCGCCACTGTCGCCGGCGTCCGTCACCGTCGCCGCATCCGGCCGCTGCCCTGAGTTGATATCGCCGGCAGATTAACCTCCACGCCGGATTGATTGGTCGATTTCGCATTTTGACTCGATTTGACCCGTTCGTTTGATTTCGTCGATTTGCCTTCCGTTCGAGCTATCGATTCGATTTCGGCGTAATCCAGGTCCGTACTATGAAGTTAATAGCATTCAGAATAGATTTAATGGTTTGGATCGTTATATGTGTTTATGCTATAATTTGGCTAAATTGGTTAATTGAATTAAATTGATTGTTTGAATTGAATTGTTGAGGATTGTGAATTGACTGAACAGGTTTGACTTTGACTTGGGTTAGGTCATGTTTGACNAAAGTCTAAATTGGTTTGACCGGTGGTCAAAGAGTTCATGAGAAACCCGTAACACCTAAATCGTTTTGAAAAGAAAGAAAATAAGTTGACTGTTGGTCAACCGTCTAAAGAACTGAATGTAAAGTTGAATTGATTTTTATTAAAAGGATAAACATATGCACGATCTTAATTGTTGAATTATTATGTTTATTCTTGTGCTACAATGGAGTACCACTCAGCGTCAATGCTGAGCGGATAGCGTTGTTTTCCTTTTTGCTGTCCGTAGGTGAACAGACAGATGAACCTAGAGCCGATCCCAGAGGGCATTGAGGAGGAGATGTACGATGGCGTGGCTGTCTCTTTAATCTGTTGATTATGCTTTATTTAATTAACTTTAATGCTTATTACGTTTTCGGGCAAGATCCCAAGTTGTTTGACTTTAAAAAGGCTTCCGCATTATTTTAAATTACTCCGATGAATTTTTATATGTATTGATAGAACGTTTGTTTAAAATTGTTTTGAAAATGTCGCAAATTCGGATACCAATTCAGTGACACACCGGTCCGCTGTCTCACGGGTTTGGGTCATGCGGGTTGGGGTGTTACACAATATATTCTATTCAAAAATATATGTTGTCATTCGATACTTGAATCTATAAATATATGAATATCAAGATTATATTTTTTCAATTATCTATTTTTACTATTATATATTTTCTCTATGAAAAATATGTTCCAATAAAGAAAAATAAAAGCTCAAAAAGTCCTACTAATAAAGAGGATCAAAACAATTCTTTTTAAAATTTATATTTCTTTTATGAAAATACTTTCATTTAAAAACAAAAGTTCTATCAATAAATACTATTAAAGACTATCAATATCATGAAGTGAATATATATAATATGTAAAAAAATTAAACTTGATAGATTTTTTATACTCCCTATTATATTTTTAATAAAATTTTGATTAATAATTTTCAAAAAACTATATTTTACTCAAAAGACTTTTAATATTATTGTCGTTTTTATTAAAAAAAAGCCCGAGCTAATCATGATTAGTTTCTTTTCTATGAATAATTTATTTAATTTATGTTGAAAAATTATAACATTTATTTCATTTGCATAATTTTAAATAAATTATAAAGTTCATAATTTTCCAATATAAAATATATTGTTTTAAACTAATCATATTTTAAAGGTTATCATAAACAATTTTCTATATATGATGAATGAGCATGCCATGTAATTTATTCATGTGCTATGCCATTTCAAAATTTTTATGTAAGATAACACATATCGACTTTTTGGAGACATGAGAGTCAAATATGTTCATGATTCAATATCATCGGATGCAGGCCGACCCAATATTTTTTATGTCACATTAAAAAATAGATTTTTGTCTAATGAAAAAAACTAAACTAGAAGTAAAGATGAAAAATATACCAAAGTAGGAGCTCCATATTTTTTATCTCAAAATATGATTACAATGCCAATAAAACTAATATAGTGTAAAAAATATAGTAAGATATCACTATACAATTGGATTAAGCTATGTGTACCCCAAGTTTTGTACCTTAATTTGTACACCGCAGGTGTGTACCTTCATTTTGTGCGAGGGTTATGTTAGGGTGATGGTTCACACAAGCACAAAATGTTAGTGTAAATTTTTGTTATTGCACTAACATTTTGTGTCAGTGTAAACCATCAAAGTGTTAGTGTATATTTGTTGTGTAACTTTTGAATACACTTTTTGTTGTAATTGCAGAATGGTTGAATATTATTATGAGTTTTTTGCACCAGCGCCCCCTAGGGTTTGGTAAATGTGCACCATTACCCTTATAGTTTCAAAACTTACGATGTTGCCTCTCTTGGTTATGATATTGCTACTCCAATGCCTATCTGGATATAAATATCCTTCAAATATTAGGCGAATAACTCTAGGGGTGGGCACGGATCGGGACAGTCCGAGTATTAGGTTGTCTCGCGTCTTGTCCCGTTATATATAAATGGTTCGGAATGGTTCAGATTACAATCTTATCCCGATTTGTCCCATAAAATTTGGGATCGGAATAAACCGGGACGGATTCGGGTTGTCCTACTTTGTCCTAATCGCAAATATAAGAAAGGAAGAGGGTGACATTTCATTCAAAAAAAATAAACATCTAGCCATCCAACAAAAAACAATGAATGGAACGGGTCTAAATAAATTTCAAGCCTATGAAGTTAATTTAATTAAATAACAAATTAATTAAAGAATGAGTGTATTTGGATTTTGGACTAGAATTAATATTATATATTAATAGAGTAGATAAAACAGGACAAACGGGACGGATCGGTATAAATTTAAGCTGTCCCGCTCATGTCCCATTTGATATTGGGACGGAACGGATTCGGGATAAAAAAAATGGGTCCCAATATATCGGTACAATTACAAAACGGATCCGGGATTTTTCGGAACGGTCCAACGGGAACGGATTTCATGTCCACCCCTAAATAACTCTGCTACCTTTTATGGTTTTGGAAATGAGCATTAATTCCCCATCTACTTTTTCTTTTTTCTTTTTCTTTTTTCATAAAGAGAAGAAAAAAGTCTTTATGTGAAATAATGAAAAATTGTTTTTCCAAACCTACATTTTTAAAAATTTTTTAAAAAAATTGTGTTTGAAATAAAAGATTTAACAGATATTTCATTTGTCAAATTAAATATTTTTTTGTCTAATTGTTTTTTATGTTTTTGAATATGTCGGGACCAAAAAAAATACTGAGTCACGTCTTTTTAATATATAGTTAATTATATACTAATAACATTTTTTGGACCAGTGCGCAAAGATTTCTTTTATGACTTATTTTCTCTATTCTATAAAAGTAGTTTTTCTTATACTTTTCTTTTTCTTTATTTTATTTTCTATTCTTTTTTTCTTTTTTTTAAATTTTGATTAAAATAAAAGAAACGGTATAAAATTAATGAACAGAAAATGAGAAATGAGCTTTATTGAAAAAAAGAATATTTTATTGATTTTCGTATAATGAAAATAAACCAATAAAGACCTCTTTTGGACAAAAATGAAAATGTTAATTCGAGACAAATGAAGTGTATGTTAATTCTAGTTATTTCATTGTTTGTTATTGCAAACAAAAAAGTTTGATTATTTAAACATTATAAAAAAATTAAAAAGAAATAAAAAAAAATTTTGAAAAAAATAGTAGAAAAAAGAAAAATAATAAAGAAAAAGGGGCGTGTGTGCCTATTTTCAAAATCATATGCGACAGTGAAACTATTCACATTATATTTGAAGGATATTTTAGTCTATAGGGGTATTAAGATATCAATATCAAGAAATAACAACATAAGCTTTGAAACTTAATGGGATCATGTAGAATAAATTTATATTAGGTAGTGTTTGGCAACTAGTATTTCATTTCAATTCATGCATTTCAATTCCAAAATTTGAAATCTTGAATTTCAAATGACAAGGGAAGGTGCATGAATTTCAATTTAAGCATTGTTATGAATGAGAAGAATTTGACTCGAATCCAAATTCAAAATTTGTAAGTTTCCCAAACACAAATACGGATTTGAAATCCAAATCCATGTTCTCGAACATATCATTATAATATTATCACAATCCAAACCCCCAAATCTAATAATGAGAAATTGATTCCTGCTTTCATTTTGAAACTGATTACTGATGAGTTGTCTGGAATTAATTTTCAAAGGGGTTCCCTGCTTCCGGCTAAGCTAAGGATAAAAATAGGGTAGTGAAGGAGGCCGACGCTTACATTGATTCGATTCTGCGAGAAGGGAGCTTCCGGCTACGGCGATAGCAGTGTCTTGAAGTCGAAGTCGAAGTCGACATCCCGCGAGACCGTTGATTAGGTTCCGATTTCCAAAGGTATGGTGAGTCGCGTTCTAGGGTTTGATACGTTTTGAGCTGATACTTTTTGGGCGAGTGGGCGTAGTAGCGATGCTTTTTTTGTTTTTATTTTAAAGAAACGACTAAGTAGTCCTTATGGCGAACGCCTGGACGCCCTTTCGTCCTCGTGGCGAAGCCTTTCTGCCTCAGGCGAAATCAGGCGAGGTGACCATCCATGGCGGGTAGAGCAGTCCGTCTGGAAGTCGTGGCAACTATGGTATCGTACTTCCCGGTCCAAGAATCTTTACATTTGACTTTTCTTGGTCATATTGTATGAACAAAATGTGGAAAAAGTATAATTAGTTACTCCGTATAATTTAATGTAATTGGGTTCATCTTAAGATGCAATTTTGATGAAGTATATCAAAATTTATACTGTAATATTTATTTATGTATAACTATAGTTATTAATGGTCAAAATGTTGCATTGGTTAGAGCAAAACGTCAAAATGGCACATTGGTGATCGTGAGAAATCAAATATAAAGATATTCTTTGGACAGATGTAGTATTATGAATATACCTTTATATAGGCCCCAACCACAATCATAATAAGATTCTAATTAATGTAATCCTTTTCTAACTAGTTTAAGGATTAAACTGTACTAACTCTAATCTAAAGTTAAACGATAATACGGATAAAAGAGGCCCTGAAATTCTTAGTGTGCTTCACTTCCTAAGGTAGCTGAGCCCCATGAAGGCATCTATATCCAATGGATGGATGAAATCATTGGCAATATTTGAAGTTTTGTTAATCTAAATATCACTTGGGAGCCAGAATTAAGTCATAGTAATTGGCATAGTTTTGATTGCAGATAAATAGGCTGAGAGTTTCCACAAAGCTATTCCAAGACATCTGTAGTTCGAGTTAGTCTTTGCTGGTCACTAATCTTTGTTCAAACTTGGGTATGTTTATTAATGTTTTCCATTTTAATGTTCTGAAGCCGAGTAATTTTTTTGTTGAGCTGGACTATATTTTAATGCTGCTGCTGAATTGTATATGCATTTGGGTTAATCAAGCATAAAAAAAGATGTACTTCTATCTTTTTCTGTATGATGTAGACCTGATTCCTCGTGTGTGGTAAATTCTACAACACATGTGTTAAATGTTCAGCTGAAATTTGATTACCTAATTTACTTGTATACACTAAAGTTTCCGTGGTCAAAATTGCTTCATTACTCGTGTGAACTACTGTTTACTATCCACAATTGATTATATTTTCTATCTGTATTCTCATTGAGCCACTCAATATTTACATGTCTCTCCCTGTTTTCTCCTCCCTGTATGTGTGTCAGAGTCCATTTTTTCATAGAGCTTATTTATCAAAGTTGAAAATTTTCACAGGCTCTGAATTATTCTTTCCTGTTAGTTCAGGTTTTCTAATTGGGTGGTGTGTTTGTAAATATATTGAAAAATAGTTTTGTTTTAGCTTTATAATACTCAAATATAAATTAAGTAGTTAACTTTATTGGTAAATTCTACTTTGAATGGCATATAGTATAGTGCACGTGTTTTAGTCAATTGCCTTTCCTTTTTTTTCCAGAAAATTGTTCTGAGAGAGAATAACATGTCTGAAGCCGGAAGAGTGCATCCGGAATGTCGAAATGCATTGAATCCTTATCACGAATGCAGCGAGTTTTGCTTCAAAATAATTGCCGAAGCAAAGAAACAAATGAAACAAACAGAAACAGGTCATCATCGTATTTTAATTCCTTAGTTAGTTAACCTTTTTATCTTTAGTGTTTATAATGTGAACTCCACATCACATTAACTGATTATTGATTCATAGTGGTTATGCATTTGTATACGAATTATGAAATTGTATTACACGATAGCTGGTTGCGTTCTTATGCTTGTCATGACCTTTTGAAGTTGTGGTCTACTGGTCTCCCCTCTTCCACTGCATATATGATTTGATAATTAATTAATTATAGATTGCAGGGAAATTGTTATTACTGGCTGATAGCCCGAGTTTTGCCTTATGGCACTACCAAGATAGTTGAAAGTTGTAACGCCAAACTCATGGTGCAAAGCCTAAGGTGCAAAAAAAGCACTAGCCTGACTCATGGAAGGCAAATAATTTGAAAATGTTATCTATAGTTCTAGAATTACCAAACATGATATAAACTCAATATAAAATTAATGTATGTGCACCAACAATAATATAAGCATGACAATCCTTCACATCCATTATCCATAGTACTAGGTAGACCTGGCAAAACTGGCCCGGACCCGATAGCCCGAACCGAATAACCCGAACCAAACCCGATTTGACCCGGAAACTGAAGAACCGAAATAGACCCGAACACCCGAAATGATCCGAACCGAACCCAAACCGAATGTATTCAGACCCGATTCAGATCCGAATCCGATTAAACCCGAACCGATTAAACCCAAACCGATAAAACCCGAACCCGATTAAACCCGGAACCGATTAGACCCGAAATTGATTAAATTTTATGTACGTCCGTGTTAAATAATAAAATAACTACGGAGTATATCATAAATTGATTAAATTTATTATGTGATATTATTGATTTATTAGTAAATATTTGATATATATTTGAACTAATATAAACCTAAATCGATGCAAACCTGAATTGATGTAAACTCAAACCGATACAAATCTGAACCGATATAAACCCGATCCGATACAAACCCGATCCAATACAAACCCGAACCAAAACCAAACCGAAACCGAAAACCAGTCAAACCGAAATTAACCTGGAACCGAACTGACCCGACCCAACCCGACCCGAACCGATTATAACATATATCTGAATGAGACCCGAACCGAAAAGACCCGAACCGGAACCAAACCGATTGACTCGATTGCCAGGTCTAGTACTAGGCAATGCAAACACAACACATACAGTCATAATTCGAAGTGTCAATTAAAGTGTCAATTATTTTAACTTCAAAGACTAATGAAATTTGATCTAAGAGAGTAACAGTTTAAACTAACAAAAAGTATGTTAACTTCAACAACTGGTTGAAAATGAATATAACCGTTGCAACAAATTAGAAAGATAAAGAGAATAACAAATAGGAGAGCAAAGATAGGGGGAGAAGAATTTAGACAGGGAAGAAATGAAAAAAGGGTAATATTTAGAAGATATTTGGACAGGCTGATTAATGTCTAATCTGAATTTGGTCTTCGAAAAATAGGCCTATTGTACCAAATATTCTCACAGGTTTAAAAATGGCACATTCCAAATTTACTCTCCCCCTCCCCCCATCCCACCAAGTTTGGGACATGGGAAGTTGGCACACAAAATAAGAAAATGGAATTGTGGTTTATATTGAATATGTAAACTTCACAAAGTTTGAGTTAAGTAAATGGGATTTTGACGTAACACAAATATACCGAAAATGAAATGAGACAAAGAGAGTGGGGCGGGTAAAAATGTTAAAAAGGGATAAAGATAGTGGGACGGAAGGAGTACTATACACCAAAATCTAGCCTTGGCGCATCTTTAGCACTTTGTGCGTTTTCTGTGCCTTGGCTGCGCATGTGAGAGTCAGATACCCCTGTGCCTTGACCTTCTATCTAATAGGTTCAGTAATGAATCCAAATTTCATGAATGATAATAAAAGAATGTAAAGAAGAAGTAGAAGAATGAGAGATGAGAGAATTCAGAATTCATTCATAATAACTTCAATGCATACAACTGAAGGGTGAAAGGAGACAAATACAATACTAGCTAACAACTTTCTAACAGCAATCCTTCTTTCGCATAGCTACCTGGCAGTATGGCACTCTTTATTCATGTGGCTAACTTGTGTTTTACACTTCAATACACGGGGAAGTGTTTAGTACTGTGAGAGTCAGATACCCCTGTGCCTGGACCTTCTATGTAATGGATTCAAGTAATGAATCCAAACTTCATGAATGATAATAAAAGAATGTAAAGAAGTAGAAGAATGACAGACGAGAGAATTCAGAATTCATTTATAATAAGTTCAATACATACAACTGAAAGGTGAAAGGAGACAAATACAATACTAGATTACAACTTTCTAAAAGCATTTCTTCTTTCCCAATTCCCATAGCTACCTGGCAGTATGACACTCTTTATTCATGTTGCTAACTTGGGTTTTACACTTCAATACATGGGGCTAAGTATTGGTCTAGAAACAAGAGGCCCAGTACTTAACACTCTAAAGGCACTGAACAGATATTATGCCTCACCTGATGTGCTCAAGTTCTCAGGTGCTCACTTTCGACAACCTTGGGTGCTGCAATAGACTCTAGACTGACATTCTTTGCAAATTTCTACGGTGGCTGGACAAATCTGTCATGCACTCATGCTATTCTGCCATTTAACAACAGTGCTATGGGGTTCTTTATTTTTTTCCCATCTGGCTAAAACCCACCTCATCGTAGGGAATGTACTTCTAAATTTTCTTTGCAGCCATGGGAACAAGGAACTATATAAGAGTCTACCAATACATATATTCTTACGTGTTAATTAGCAATCAGAAACCCCAGAGTCTCTATAAAATAGATTTTGGATTTCTATGTTCTGTACTGTACGTTGCATACAAAGTATATTTATTTTTTCTGCTATTTATGCATCTCAAGTATATAAACTGTATTGTTGTCCATAATCTGTTAATGTTGCACTATTTCAGTGCTAATGCAACCTGAAGATTGTAGTCATCAAGCCCTCTCAGCTGATGACTCTAATAGGGATCAGAATCCTCTAGTTGGAGAAGAAGTGATCGAAAATCCTTGCAAAGAGGTTTCTAACCTTACAGGGAGAGAGAAAAAGCTGTACAAGTTAAGGTTAAAGATGGTATGATTAGTCACACAATTTGTAATGTGGTTTTGTATGGAGTGTCAAAATATGATCTATTTAATTTTATTTATCTTTTTCTATCACCTTGCAGAATATGCTTATTTGATTATATTTTTATTACTACGTACCTTGCTCAATATGCACTATAAAATTTGATTACTCCCTCCGTCCTATAAAAATTGTCCTTTGACTTTCATGGAGTTTTATGAAAAGTGTTGAAAAGTGATAAGTTTGTGGTTGAAATTTATGCAAAGTAGAGAAATGTTGTGAACCACATGTTACTTTCCTTAATGGAATTGAAACATTTATATAGGGACAGACGAAAAAAGTGGCAATTATTGCGTGATGGGAGAATTATCATTTTTTATCACATTGTGTAGAATGAGGCAAGAAAAGCTAATCAAACTGCCATGGTGGCCGAGAAAAGAAAAATGGAAGCACCCGAGGAGTCTAGGGGCATGTCCAAGCAAAAATGGGTTCAGGAAAAGAAGAAGAAAATTGGAAAATTGCTAGAGTCAAATGGTTTGGACATGAGCAAGGCATACATGCTAGACACACAAGAATTTGCAGAGGCAAAGTATAAGAAGTGGGAAAAGGAGCCTGCTCCAGCTGGTTGGGATGGTATGTTTCACGATGTTCTCTTAATAATCAGACTTCAATGGCAATAATGGCATGTTTTGAAATCTTTGAGCTGTAATGTTATGTGCTTTCCTGCTCATAAATTTGACTGGTAGTTGAATGCATAATTTATCGGGGTTTGGTTAAGTTACAGTTCTTGGTACTTACTGCACACACGATCATTCACTAGATGTGTTGATACCTATCACAATTTTCCCTTCTCACTTGCATGTTTTGTTTGTTGTTTTTCCCGAGGATGTTTTCTTTTTGCAAGAGTAAATTCCCTAAATGGTACTCAATAATTACGTGTTTTCTCAAATCAGTCCCCAAGATGAACTAATTACCGAGATGGTACTCAATAATTGAAAATAATGCTCAATTTAGTCCCCACGACTAACGGTTATCAAAATGGTGTAAGAACAACATTAAACTTTATACTATTTTTTCAAAATTGTCCTTTCTTATTGGATGTTTTCTCAAATTGATCCATTGAAGTAAAAATTCATTAAATATGAAAAACCGAATTTAATTGGTTTACGATGTTTGAGTGAAGTTGGAAGACCATTTTTTATGAGTTTTTATTTCAAATGTAGACTATTTTGAAAAACATCCAATTAGAGATGGCATTTATGAGAAGTTAGTACAAGTTTAAGTGCCGCGTTGATGACCGTTAATTGGGAAGACTAAACTAAGCAGTATTCTCAATTAACGAGTACCATTTCGGTAATTAGTTCATCTTAGGGACTAATTTGGGAAAACACAAAATTATTGATTACCATTTTGGGAATTTACACTTTTGGCAATTAATTAAGAAAAAATTAATTTGTTTGAGAATTCACTTTTCTGTTTCTCTTCCTTTGTAGTTTTTAATCAGAAAACCTTATACGAAGCATACAAGAAGAGAACAAAAAACATTGAGGTTGACCTTGAAGAGTACAGTAAAATGAAGGAGGCTGATCCAGAGTTTTACAGAGAAGCTTCAAGTCTTCAATATGGGAAGGTACATGTTTTTAGCTAAGACATTTAAGGCACGATTTGTTCAAATGTGTGAATGAGAGTCCAAAACCTAGCCAGTGGTTTGGGGTTTGGACTTTTACCAGGATAAAATATACTCTGTACATTCATAAGAAAATGCAAGGTATACAATAACAACTCAATGAAAACTCTGGCGGGCGTATGCACACCTTATGAAGATCGCAAGGAATAGAGATGGAAAAAATATACTCCCTCCGTCCAAAAAAGAACTTCCCGGTTTGACCCGGCACGCAAATTTATGTGTGATAAAAATTGTATTGACTTTCCCCTTATACCCCTTAACCTATTTGCCCTCTCCACCGTCATAAGCCATCTACCGGTGTTGCCAACGCCGGCGGCGGTTCACCGACCGACCGTTCTTCGGCACCACTGCCGATGTTCTTGTCACCGCCCCTCCCCCACCCCCACCATCGCAGACCTTACGCCGTCATAGATCTATTCCAGGTCTTCTCGTTGAAGACAGTCATTGAACACAACCCGCAAGCCCTCCTCGCAGATCTGTTCTGGGACTTCTCGTTGAAGGCAACCCCCCCTCCCCCCCCCGCCATCGCAACCTTCTGTCATCGCAAATCTATTTTAGGACTTGTTGATTTCCCCGCAGATCTGAAGAAAAAAAGACTTTTGTCAATTTTTGTCTTTGTACACTTCTAGATCTGGTCAAATCTGAGAGCTCTTTCCAAATCGTGGGTGAAATCGGAAGGGGGAGGGAGAATGAATAAAAAAGAAGAAGAAGAAGAATATTGGTGTGGTATGAACAAATCGAAAGGAGTGGAGTGGATTAGGGGAAGGAATGGGGGAAGAAGAAAAGAAGAATGGGCAGATCGGAGAAAGAAGGAAAGGAAAAGAAGTGGGTGGCTTGGATGGTTGAGGGTAGTTTAGTCATTTTAACATAAAAAAGTTACCAAATAAGGAAATGGGAAGTTTATTTGTGGACATCCCAAATAGGAAAGTGGGAAGTTCTTTTATGGACGGAGGAAGTATTAGTTTTGGTAGGGATGAAATGGTTGGAAATTAATAGTATGCCATTGCTTGGAATGATAATATAGGTAGTATAGATGCTAAAATGTCCAAATCTATTCCATTTGGTACAAAAAAGGGGATTGAGAATAAAAATAAATGTTATATTCTTGTTTCATTATAAATCTGTTCCAAATCCCACCTTCAATCATTTATCCCATCATTCAAACATTTTCATTCCTGTTGATAAAATTCTATGCTCAAAGAAAGTGGAGCCATATCCCAAATTAATGTCAGCATGAAAAGGTTACATATGTTAAATCAATATATAGTTGTTCCAAATTTCACTTTTGCTCACATTCTTGACCTGAGCAGGCTCCAAAAGTTTCTGACGATAAGATTGAGAGAATGGTGAAGGAGCTGAAGGACAAGGAAGAGAAGCGAAAAGCATTTAGCAGGAGGAGAAGGTACCATGAAGAGAAGGATATCGACTCCATTAATGATCGCAACGAGCATTTCAATAGAAAGATTGAACGAGCCTTTGGAAAATACACGCTGGAGATCAAGAACAACTTAGAAAGGGGAACTGCTTTGCCTGACTGAGGCGGTTACTTCAGGCTCCGACTATGCGGTGGTCCCCGTGGTGGATCCAGAATCGTATCTCACCCGTGGCACTCGGGGTATATACTCGGTTACATGAGATCCCTTGAAATATTTTGAATGCTTGAAATATTAGTGTTTGTGTACTAGGACTTTTTTTACTGTTATAAACTCTATTATAATGTAATATGTATTTGGGTTTATTCGATCAATTGAATCATTTGTAAAATTCATTAGTATGGAGTATTATCTTTACCATTTTCCTTCTCTATTTGACTAATTTGAGTACCATTTTTGAAGGAAAAAATTTTGGTGGACCTAAGGTCAACTTTGATTTTGTGGACTTTCTTTGCAATTGTAAGCAATTTGCAATGTTGATGGGCCTTTTCAATAAGTCTTTTCCATTGACGAAATTATTCACTCATACAAGTAACAAACACTATCCCACCTGTCACACAACATATGTATATTAAAATACTCTGTAACAATTGTGTTTATAGAGTATATCTTTATTAAATCTCTCTTTATAACTATTTTAAAAGGACAAGGTTCCCATGACATTGTCTGGCAATGTCATGGGTTGACCCGGGGCGCTCCGGTGCCCTGTTTGTAAAATTAACGGTTCCTACCCCCACCCCGCCCCGACCCGAACACACCCCACCCCCTTCAATTGCACCCCACAAGTTGATTTTGACTTTGGAGTCAAAATTTGATTCCAAAGTCAAAATCAACTTGTGGGGTGCAATTGAAGGGGGGTACGGGGTGTGTTCGGATCGGGGCGGGGTGGGGGGGTTTACCGGGGGGTTGGGGGTAGGAACCGTCAATTTTACGAACGGAGCACCAGAGCGCCACCGGGTCATCCCATGACATTGCCGGCAATGTCATGGGAACCTTGGTGATTTTAAAACACCATGATTCTTAAAATTAACTTGAGTAATTTCATAAAAGGTCCCCAGTTAGACAGTTATAGGTTGTTTTATATATTTAGTACCTACATATCAAATATTACTAATTTAGTCCTCAATTATTATATTCATTTTCACGAATGGTCCTTTGTTAACATTTCCATTAAGAACGTGGATAAAATTGTAAATTGACACACCTTTCTCTCCTGCATTAAGCTTCCTCTATCCCCTCGCATTTCTTTCCCAAACTCGTCGCTGAGTTTGAAGCTTTGAACCTAAAACCGAAACCATCACTCTTCTCTCAATTGTTTTTGTCTAACTGGTTGAACCCAAATTCAAAACTAGTAACCTTAATGGATGAGTTTTAATGTTTATTTTCTTTATAATTTCTTTAGACTAACCAATAAAACTCATCTATAAAGCTTATTAGTTTTGATTTTAGGTTCCACCAGGAAGACTAATATTCGAGAGAGGAATGATCATTTCAGTTTTAGGTTTAGAGTTTCAAACTCAGCGACGAGTTTGAAAAAGAGTATGAGAGGAGTGAGGAAGCTTAATTGAGGAGAGAGAGAGAGAAGTATGAATATACAGTTTTATTTATGTTTTTAACAAAAACGTTAACAAAGGATCATTCGTGAAAAATGATACTCCCTTCGTCCCAAAAAGAATGGGACGGTTTGACTTTTTGGGAAATTAAGGGAGGGATATTTTGGTATTAACTTTCCAAAAATACCCTTGATGTGATGGGTAAAAGTAGGATGTGATGGGTAGATTATTAGAAAAAAGGTATGATGTGATAGGTAGGGTATGAAAAAGTAAGGGGTAAAAGTGGTTTTTTAATAGAAAGGTAACGGACTTTACGGGACGCAGTTTTTTCTAAACGTAACAAACTTTTTGGGACGGAGGGAGTATAATAATTAGGGACTAAATTAGTAATATTTGATATGTATGGACTAAATATGTAAAACGATATATAACTGGGGACCTTTTATGGAACTTACTCAATTAACTTTTATTGTCATAATATGATAACAACATTGATGTTGTTGCGTTTGAAAAATTAATAGTTTCTTCAATCCTTCTGCCTTTCATCCCAACACCCCTTGCCTCTTTCCCCAGCAGACTACACTAATACTTTAGATTTTGGCGTTTAGGGGAGGATGGGTAAGGGGAGTGCTAGGTGGGAGTAGGATGAAGGGTTAGGAAGTGTTGTCATATTATGACAATAAAATTTCTCAAAAGAAGGGAGGCAATTTTACAAATATCTCTTTCATCATAGTAATATAACATACTATTTAGATCGGTCCGATTCTAGTGACACCAGAGAACGATGCCACTAGCAGTGCCACTGCGTTTTTGGGGCTCCTCAGGTGCTTCATTCGTAAAATTGACAGTTCTTACCCCCCTAACCCGCCCCCTAAACCCCCCCACCCTACCCCACCCATGCACTCTCACCCCAACCCTGCCGTAAGCCCTCCACAAAATGTGTGGCTATTATGCATTGCTAAAAATTTATTGTTATCTATAGTAAAAGTAGAGGTCATCGCTAAACATTTGGGATAATAAATAAGAGAAAAAGTGAAGAGAAGGATCCCATTGAACAAAAAGAATAGGGTCTAAAGTGATTCGATTTTGAGTACAATGACTAATTTTAATATTTTTAGATACTACACGACCTCTATGCTACTTTATCAATTAATATGTAAAATCATTTTTAATTTTGCTTCAACTCTCACATAAAGTGTATTGAAAATAACTTTAGTTAAATATTATAAACCGAAACAAGTGATTTAAATTGGAAAGTATGAGCCCAAAGGTCACAATTTAGAAAGTTATGCAAGAGATTAAAAATTTCACATTGTTCTATCAATAAATGCGCTATAAATTGTAGCCACGAAGGGGAAATGGGAAGAGGATTAAGAAGATAGAAATTATCAATTTTTCAAACGGAGTGTTGTAGTAGTCTCCGGTCATGCTATGACATTGGAAGGCATCACATGAACTGTGCCGTTATTTTTAAGTCACTCACACTTTTATTCACAAACAGAGTATGGAGGGCCGCAGCCCATCTTGCCTTTACCGAAAGCTTTAACTACATGGACACTTATAATACCATTGCGGGTGATGAGACGCCCCTCAACATGACTTAGTTCCGTTCGGTTCAACTTATTTTTTTTTGATCTTATCTGTTTTTTGTAGATCTGATCTGATCAGATTGAATCTAAATCTGATTTGATTGGATTTGATCTGATCTGATTGTATTCGATCTGATCTGATCTGATAGGATCTGATTTGATTTGATCTTATCTGATCCAATCCGATCCGATCTAATCTCATTAATTATAATTTGATTTAAAATTCAAATCAATAATTTGAATTAAAGATCAAATCAATAATTTGATTTGACTTTATAATAACGTTTTAAAATTGTAATGATAATTCATATTATAATATAATCAATTTTATTATTTTATGATTATTTTTTAATGAAATAAAATTAGTTAATTCATATATTAGAATAATCATTCATATTCTAATGTAATAATATTTTTTTATGATTATTGTTTTATGAAATAAGAATATTTATTTAATATTTTAATAATTAGTTCATATATATACATTAGAATAAATATTTAATTCATATATACACTAAAAAAAGTAATTAAATTTAGATAATCAATATAGAGAAGAGATAGTATTTTTATTAAAATATCTCATCCTTATAAAATATCAATGTGTACTTTGTACAACGAAACTTTTTTATGATTAATATAACACTAAGATATACTCCCTCCGTCCCAGATTATTTGTCCACTTTAATTTTTACACATCATCCAATGCACTTCTTTAATCTATTTTATCTTGTAATTTGTATATTAAAAATTATAGAAATTATATATGAATAATCTATATGTTAAGATAAATCAAACAAGATCACACATGACTATATTTAGGCTTACACATTGAGAGAATTTGATGAGTCAAAGTGCTTAGATGAACAGTTCCAAAAGTCAAAACTGGACAAAAACTGGGGGACGGAGGGAGTAATAATTTATTCAGTTACACTAAAATATATTGCGTATATGAATATCAAATGTTAATTTTATTTAAGTCATGATCAAAGTTGATCAACTCGATGTAGTTAAAGATCAAAACTTTAAAAACTCAAATTACAGGTAGCAATAAAAATGTATTTTAAAAGTAGAATTAGATTTACATTGTCAATGTATTTTAAAAATTATTTTCCGACGTCTAATAATTAAGAATTACTTTCTCAGTTTTTTATTTAACTTGTTTCTAAAGTTTATTCTTTTTCATTTTTAAGAATAATAATAATAATAATTCTTGATTGGATCTTATCTAATCTGGTCTGATCTGATTAGATCTGATCTGAATGGATCTGATATGATTTGGTCTGATTTTAATAAGAATAAGAAAAAAGCAGAAAAAATAAGTTGATTGGAACGGAGCCTTAGTCATTTAAATTTGACTGATTGCCCATATCCTTTATTTCATACATCCATACATAAATACATAAAATAGGTTAGGAATGGAGCAATAGAAATCAACTTAAATAGAGGTGAAACATTGAAAAAGGGCCAAATAAAGGTTCCATGTTTCTATTCCCAAAATAAAAATTTGCATTGCGATAATGTGATACTGTACATGAATATTTTACTATATTTTTTACTAATGTACATGATTAGGTAATGTAAATATATTTTAACTCATATTTCTGAAATAAAAATATAGAACTCCTATTTTGGTATTTTTTTAACATTTTACTCATACTTTAGTCTTTTTTAAAAAAATATTAGTATTCAAAAAAATATTTATGAGAATGCTTGAATAACATTCCACAATTGAGTAGAACTTAATGATCTCTATTCACTCAAATTTGCTCATGTCCTACAAGTAAATACATAAAGCAAAATAGTCATGTAGCACCTTGTTAGATTATAAACTTTTATACTCCGGGGTAATATCAATAGTACTATTGACGCACAATAAGTCAACACTAAATCGAATATAACTTCTCCATAAATTTTGGATATAGTGAACTTTCTGCCGCTCAGGACTTTGAGCATTGACACTTATGAAAGTCAGAATATATCCAATTAATCCATCCATGTAAGAACTTCCAGTTTTAACAAAAAAATTAAAAAAAAATGCTAGGTTTCAAATTTTGCCCTCCTAATTATTGAAGAAAAAGGGAAGGAAACTAGGAAAGTATGCTCTTCGAACAAAAACATATCTTTTGACCCATGCAGGAGAGTACTTTTACAAAAAGTGAAATTTGCACTAAATCGAACTAAAACATATGTCATTTCTCAATATAGCAATTAAACTTATTTATTTCTTAAATAATACTTGAATAATGTCTAGTTGCAGGAACAAAATCCAGTGAGAGTAGACATTTAGTTTGAACAATGTCCAGTGGCGGTGAACATTTACTTGAACAATGACCAGTAAATACTACATTGGAAAATATAAACATATGATATTACATCGGGAATGTCACTATATTTTAGTACTATTTAAATATATTTCACTTACAACAACAAGAATGTTAAGTCGAAGATGCAGAAAATTATATACTACATTTATTTCTTTCCAACAGATCACATGAAAATTTATCATCTTAACTTCAGAATTTGGAATCAACCTAAAGGATCTGTTCTTATTTTTAGGTTACATAGAAGTGTTTCTACCACTAACTAAAGCCAAAGGGGGTATTAGTATTACACAGAACCTGACCCTGGTCACTACTCATATGAGCAATCCATAACTTTACAAGAACTCGTACGATTCTTCGTCAACTTGGCAATCTCGCCCACATTTAGCCATTTTTTTATGAGATCAAAAACAGTTTCATCACATAGTAGTTCCCGGTGACCGGCTCTCACTCCAACCCTTTCCGCTGCCTCAAAATGATCAGCCTGCACAGTTAAGGCAGATACATATTTTTGCTGAGGATTGAATTCCACTCGTGATGATGATGATGTGCTACACTACATCTGTCCCGGTATATATGTCGAGTTTGACTTGTTTCCAATCAAACGTAAAAAAAATTGATATGCAATGTAATTTTTATTTAATTGATCATCAAAGTTCATCTATTTTGACATGGGAGAAAGAAGTCAAAGTGAACAAATACATTTTGCAAACTCACGGTGCAAAGATTCATGCCGCTTTGAGTTTAGTACAAGATTTTAATTGGTAGAACACTTGATTGGAAGATGAATGTACCACTAAACTTTATAAATGTAGGCAATATGAAGGAAATAAAAGATAAATTACCTTTGCCGATTCAGACGGAACAGTTCCATCGCCATCCACACAATCATAATCAGGCTGTAGCATATTTAACTAGTCCAAATAAGCAGAGATTCTTGGTTTTAACTTTTACTCAAGTGTTATGTATACACATACTAGCTAAGGCAAGTTACTCAAGTGTTAATTCTATCAAATATTCCTAAACTTTCAGGTTACCATTAACAATTAACAAGAGCCGTGGTCAATCTTCTAAACTCAGGTTTCATCTTCTAAGTACTAATTCTTCAACAGTAGACTACATACATTGCATGTTGCAGAAAGCCTTTCAGTTTAAGGTACCAAACAAAGTCATAATAGCATGGCTTACCATTGTGTGGCAGATATCCGATAAGTCCTCGATTGGATTTGTTTCTGAGCCATAACTGCAAAAGATAGAGATGCAACATTGTGCAGACACTTGATGAGAATCCAATGCAGAAGCCTCCATGGACATGTGAGCTTAGAGTCATTAAGTGTACACACACAAGTGTAAATTTGATACTGTGACTTCAAACTATGTTAGTGTTTGTTAAGACATTTGCATATCGAAAATAGCACCACACAATTATTCAATGATTATGTAACTCCCATTCAAAAAATGAAATAAGCAAAAACAGGGGCAAGAAAAGAAGTCATCATCACAGAGTAGAAAGGTTTTAAATTTTAATATCAACAATAACATTCCACAACGAAAAGCAATGAAACCCTGAACTTTATAGTAACAATATCACAATTTATACATGTATTGATCATCGAACTTGCTCACATTTATTATTTGGATGAGGTACTCAGCTGCAAATTTAGAGGCACTTAATTTGTATTTGCATATTAATGAAAAATATGCCAAATGGATATGTTTTTTATTAAGAAGTCAGTAGTAAGGCCCTCAATAGTATGCATAAAATGTGCCGAATCATAATATTTGCACTCAATATGGGTTTGTCCATTGGAAGATGTTTATCTGGCCTTAAGATCATATATTATTCAAAATGAGGAAAATTGATTAGAATAAAGATGTGCGATGTTGACCCTTAATTTTATATGTTATATCCTAATTTTACATGTAAATCCATCACATACCAAACATCAAAAGGTGTGTCAAAAGATGTTCCATAGATGTTGTAGAACTCAATTCCCTGGGGTAGTTGAGCGTTGTCAATAATTTTGCGAGTACCAGTGGCCCAATTGAGAATTGAAATGTTGAAAGGTAGAGCAACTGCAACCCCATTATAATTTAGCTGTAACGTGAAATTCAGAAATAAGGTAAGCACTCCAGCTACAAATAGTGCCCATGACATGCAGAATAAATAAGACAAAATTGGTGTAAACAATTATGGATTTACGGGAAAGACAAATGATTATTCAAATTAACAAAGTGACTTAATAAAAAGAAAATATTTCACCATCACCTAAATCCCAAGTATGCAGGTGTTGGTGGTATGAAACTAGTTATCACCAAAAACCATACAACGTCAAAAAACGTTCAACACAATGAAAATTGTCTCAATTAATGTTGGAGTATAATTTAATGCACGTTATTAATCTTGCGAGAATAATCCTGAATGACAGACTTGTGCTTTAGATTCTGATGTAAATAAAAAGATTTCAGTATGCTGAAAAGTAGTAAGAAGCATCCTTCAGAACTCCATTCAAAAAATTGCACATATAATAATGTGGGTGATCCAAGCACAATTAAGGGGCAAATAGTACTTATATCAGTTACTGGCCTGATATTGTTGTCATAACACCTTATCATAGATATTAAATTATTGTGTTTGATAGGATACACACATACTATTCTATTATGATCCCAATCCTGGGGCCAATAAAAGGAACAGGATATGGATGAAAGAATAAAAGAAAAGTTAGAAAACATTAAATAAAAAGTTGTTTCTCTTATAGTTACTGCAGTAAGATAAAATACCTGATTCGTCTTCAGTGCTTCTTCAAGTAAGGTCACACTTTCTTTGAGGCTATACGACTCCAGCTCAACCAAAGTCTCCCCATCCTGAGACGTTTTCCGCCACACATGAATTTCAGGTTTCTTTTTCCACTCGAAGTTGGGGTTCGGCAGCATCTCATAAATGGATGGACATTCCACTAACTAAGCAAAATATTGAGCTTTAATCAATCTCATTGTACCAAAGGGAAAAATTAAAACAAGTGGAGAACAAGAATTTTGAATTGTAATATTTGCCTAAAGAAACTTAAAAGATCACAATATCTGAGTTAAAAATGCCTACATGTACACCACATCTTGTCTGTTTAGAAACAATATGTGTAAACCAGACAATAGTTCAAACTTTGAAAAAACAAGCAAGATTTGTATATGTGGTGTAAGTGTGGGGTACATGTAACATTTTCCTATCAAATCTAAGTGAGTACCTACATAAACAAAAGCCACACTACAACCATATTTATAAACACCTACAAAAACAAAGCAAATTGTGAAATCTTCACCTACATAGTCAAAAGCCAACATCTCCAACCATAATTATAAACTTTTTCTGAACAAATCACTCTAAGATTACAATTAGTACTAGTATATTAAGAAGTTAAAATTTGAAATACAATTAACAACCAAGTAAACCACACTGCAATAGGAAAAACATTATGTAAGTAGAGAAATGGTAGATGCAGATGTTGAGTTCAGCCATCCACTAATTATTCCAAGAATGTTTAGGAAAATCATGAATCCAGGCAGTATGTCAGTGTCAAGGTATTAGGTAAACGTCATATGCATACTTCAGAGCAATCATTTTTAAGGCAGTTTGATGAGGTAAGTATGAGATTTAGATTTTTTTTAAAAAAAAAATGCAACTTCCATGCAGGACATGTTTGTTTTAAATATTTTTAGGCTTTGTTATGCTCACAATTCCTTAACAAAGAAATAATGATGTCAAAAATGTTTTGAAGGGACAAGAAAAAATAGCAACTATCATTATATATTGTACATTACATAGTTACGAAAACATTGAGTACGATCAGCTGATACCATTATAAATATTGTAAATCCATCCCTAGCAATATTAACTGGAATATGTAAATACTTTTCATAAGAAATAAAAAATAAATTTTGTTGGGTAATGGAAGAAATAACCACCACACATGAAGGAGTTCAGCATCTCCACGTTTTAAAACATATAAACCTCAAATAAAATTGGGGTACCTATTATTTTAGCATAACTAACCAGTTGATGCATAGTCCACCTAGAAACAAAAAAGAAGCTCTCAAATCCTTCAACAAACTGCACTCCAGTTAACAAAGAATCATTGACACAACCTGGTGCGCCTGTTAAGCATAACTCAGAAGTCAAACATTCACATGCAATAAAGATTAAGATGAGTGCAATTATTATCGTTAGCTCATCGCGTGAGAGTTATCTTCAGCCATTCTCTCAACTCTATTGACATGCTCAAGTTATATGTAGCTCATTGATAATTATATATAAACAAATTTGCCAGATATGGTGCGCTCACTATTCTTCAGGATAAGTATTTAAATCCAAAACTTGTTAAATGGTTTCTTCACTGCCTTACCCATTTTCATAAGCCAGTCAAGCAAATTACCTTGAAAGGGGCATGCAATAGCAATCCACTTGTTTACATACTTAGTGAATACCTGGAGGAGAATGGTTTCGTCCAATGTCAGAGTTACAATTCAAAGATATAACAAGTGTAAACAAAAATATCAAGACCAAGACTTAGCAATAAGTCCTAGACCAAGCAAAACTAAGAAGACTTTGATTCTATATATTTCACTATATTATTTCCATTGATCCAAGACCCGACTTTCGTGGGATCCAACAGGGTTGTTTTTGTATTTCCATTGATATGAAATGTATCCTTCCATTCTATATATTTCATTGTACTACTAAGTCCAAAAACAACAACAACAAGATAGAGCATGCATAGCTTTAAATTTCTTAGACAAAACAAAGTCTTGCATACATCGGGATGAAGTGACATAAAACATGTAACAAGCAATCCCCCCATTGAATGAGAAATTATGTTGATTTTCCTTCCCCGCGATGCAAGATATGCAGCTTCCAACTTTTCTCTTAAACCATTCATTGCCTGGTCGATCCTGCACCAGCAAACTAAAACAGATTACCAAGTTACACAATCATATTCAATAGAAAATACATGCAAATAATGGTGACTCCCCGCTAGTGAACTCAATGTAAAGAAAATGAGGTTAAAAGGTCATGCAACGTTTCAAACTAAGAAATATCCAGAACAAGCAATACCTATTGCTCTGTCGGAAGTCATAGCCATATCCAAACAACGTAGTTCCTTTTTTGTATCCACATCCAACAAGCATTTCAATCATATCGTGGAAATTGTATGTATTTGACAAACGCATACACTTTACAAACTGGAAATCAAAATAAGAAGGTATAAGACATTTTCCATAGATAACCACAAGAAACAAACTTCAAAGCATGCCAAATGCCGAAGAAAATTGTGCATATATAGGAGAACTGAATTAATAATAATCAGTCAACATGTTCCACTGTCGCAAAAAACATCTCAAACGCTAAGTCCTAATGATGTTCCCCAACACTATATTGTGGTTAACAACATCGTAAACATGAGTAAAAAGGCTTGAATTTGAAAACCTTTCCTGAAAAGTCTGAAACTTAAGTACTGTGTTTGGCATACGTGTGTCAATTGGTGGAACACAAGCAGAACAACTACCCCAATGTGAAAACTTCTTTGCTCTGGTTTCTTTTGTCCATAGTTGGTCCAGAGTTTAAAATCATAGAAACAATATTCTAGGTAGTAATACAGTTCCAGGAACCACAGAGTGGTTCAAACTTCAAAGACAATCATGGATATGAATGACACTGTGGTTGTTGTAATATACTTGGCATACTCAATGATGGAAGCTACGTGGAAACCTGTTAATGTGACTCAAACTAAACTATAAAAACCAAGTCCCGGGACTATATCTAATGCAGAATAATAAAAGTTTGCCCGTTTCAAATCTAATACCAAATCCATAAGTGTCACTCCTGTATGTTACTCAAGTATCATCCTTCTTTCCCATTCCCTCTAATCATATCTTCATTTATTCATTTGAATTTTCTCACCTTGCTTCCTTTGTCTCTTCCGCCTTATTGGTCAATTTTCTTTCCAATCGGAAATTGCTAATTTATTTGATTATGTTGGCTGGATGAGTTGTGTCCATTGCTAATGAAGCTAAAAGAGTCATTTTGGAAACAACCTCTCTACTTTCAAGTAGGGGTAAGAGCATCTCCAACCATAACAAAATGACTTGCTATATGTTATAATTTGACAAGCATATACAAAATTTCATGCTCCAAGGGGTTATTCAAAATTTGACTAGCTTGCTAAAAAATGAAAACAACTTGCTATTTATAACAAACATGCTAGAATATAGCTAAACAAAATTTAATTTAAATTTCTTTTGCAATGATATATACTCCACAAATACTCCGTATAACATTTTTTTTTATTTTTTTGATGTGAATGTGATTTTTACCATAGGACGAGTTGTTTGATTTATTTTATTTTATATTTTTTAATTACATATTGTTAGAATATAAATAACTTTTACATACATTTACAAGAATAAATACAATTCAAGAACTATTGTGTTTTATGTATTATAATGGTTATTGGAACAAAATATATTTGTTAGTTACTCTCTCCGTTCAAAAAAGAAATATCCATTTACTATTACAGTCTCTCGGTAACTCTTATTTGTTTGCATATTTTCACTGATCAGTTGATAAAATAAAATATTCTTGTCAGCTCTTGTTTTGTAGAGTTTTCGATGTACTTTTAAATATAAATTTTTTATTTTGTATTTCTTTACTAATTGTAAATAAAATCATTTTAAAAGTTATGGAGTTTTGCACGTTGATCAAAATAAGTAAACATTATGGGACGGAGGGAGTATAATATAACAAGTCATGATTGGAGAAAGGAGCAAAAAGTAGCTTGTTATACCACTATTCATTTGCTTTAAAAAAGCAATAGCAAGCCACATATAGCAAGCCCCTTTAGAGATGCTCTAAGGTCTACGTACACACACCCTCCCCAAATCCTACTCTTGTGGAATCCAACTGGGTTGTTGTTGTATTGATAATGTTTTAGCTTTGGATAAATAGTAGACTAAATTAAAATGGCACAATAAACCTCCTTTGCTTCATATTTATATATTGATCCTCTCATTTGCAACAATGCATCAACGGTCTAACAGTCTCTGTTTGTTTTTCCCAGTTTGGTTTTTTCCAGGAATAAGGTTGTGTACAACTTGACTAATTTAGGGTTAGTTGGGTTTTTCATATTGTTGTTATCATCGAAATTAGTTGATAATGGAAAATAGTACAAAACGTGTTTTCAACTGAAGTTGCTAACTGAATGAAAATACAGTTCAGTTTTCATTTTTATTTGACTTTTGTCTCATCAATTGTCAAACAAAATCTTCTTTCTTTACATATTTTTATCTATCATTTGTTAAAATAATATATACCTTGTTCTCTTCAACTTATTTTTTTTATTTATTACTTATGCTTATCAAAACCAGAGATCAGAGATCGATTCATAACAGATCGATTAATATTAGATCAACCTTAAAAACTTCAGATCAAATTTAATAAGTTCACACGAAGATAACAGAGCCATAGTCATACCACCTCTTATTTGGTAGAGCTTTTGATGTACTTTTTAAATATATTTTTTTTATTTTTTGATGTACTTTTTAAATATATATTTTTTATTTTTATTTCTACACAAATATTTGATAATTCTATTAAAATAGTTTTAGTCAAACATTGTAAACTGAAATGGGATAAAAACATCATGATGAAGAGAGTATCATTTTAAATGAACCAATTTGTAAGATTTTACATGAATCTGTCATAAAGTCTGTTGCAAACTTTTGGCCAACCATTTGTTACAAACTTCCAATGACAAACTTTGCTACAAATGACATCTTCTTGGTATAGCAAGTTCACCCAAAAAACCATATGACCCATCACTGTATGTATAAATAAATTCAGCCACTAAGCTTTTTCAACCAAATGCACCGCCCGACTCTCAATTCCAACTTGGAAAAAAGGCATCATGCTCCCTCATATCATGGGCTCATACCACAAGTGAGCCAGATATACTCCTAGACTCTTCTTGATGAAAAAATTGTTAGCCCTGATATGTTAAACCTCTTGTTTTCATGTTTACAAGTAATATTTGAGCTAATTTTGTTGAAGTATTAAGGAATGATTTGGGTACTAAAAATCAAAAAAAAATACCAAACTTAAATCTTCTTTAATCTCATGTTAACTCTTAAGTGTTCTTACTTCTCTCCAAATCTTTCTACATTATATTTTAGCTATTAAGACCTTTTTGAGAGAAATTTACGAAAAAAGGCATAGTGACATAGTGAAACCTTCACTGTTAACGGTTTTGGGTAGTCATGAAGAAATCCATAACATTTACCTTGGCCCGAATCCTATTGGCAAGGGTTGTTTGTTAAAACTTACTACAGTTAGGATTTCCAAAATCAGTACAAACTCCGGTGCACTTACTTTCATGCTTTAATTTCTGCATTTTATTTGCTTCCACTTATTGTCATAGCCTATTCATATTAGTTGCACGGATTAGGAACAACTAAACTGTGAAGACTCAGTTATCAAGGATAATCAACTCACTTATCCAATATTAACTTATTTCCTCTTTTTTTGTATCTTGTTATTTTTCCGGATAGATTGGTAGCTCCCTCTGTGTATATATAGCCTAGTTCTCTCCTTTGTAAGACAGATTTTTCCCTTCTATCACCGAATGCAAGCTTCCATTTCTGTTAATTCATTTTTACATCATATCTTGATTTCTTGTTGAGCAAGAAGTTTAACATAAACTAAAATGGAAAACAAACTTATGTACACTATGTACGTATAACCATGTATTTATGCATTCAAATTATGTACACACAACTATCAAAATAATGTCATCAGTTTGTACGCTATGTACATACAACCATGTATTTATGCAAGTACTCTGCTGAAGAGATTTGATTGATTGTTAACTTTACAAATCGGTGAAGTCTTTTCCATATGTCTTAGCATGTCTTTGCAGCAATTATGTACTCTCAATCAAAATGAAGCGGTACCAAAGCAACAAATACACTTCATAACAGTAAAATAAAACCAATAAGATGTACTCATTCCCTCATGCATCCATAGCCGCTCATGTAAACAAAAAGTAAAGGAGAAACTGCATTTATAAATTGAAATACTTACGCTTGAAGGATCCAAAATATCAATTGCATAGAGGCCATAATCATCTTGAGGAACCACAATCTCACAAGTATCATCTAAACATTCTGTATAACCTGAAAAAAATTACTCTATTTAAATATTTACTTTCTACAACAGAATTTTTTACTCCTTTGTACCACATAATAAACTCGGCAGAGTACTTCACACTTTCTTTTTCTCCTCCCAAAATAAACTTCACACATTTCACACACACAAAAATTGTCTCTTTACTCCATCCGTCCCATAATAATACAATGTCTTTTTTATCTATCCCAAAATACGGTTCTACTTTCTATACTAGACAAACTTTTTGTGGTTTACATCTAGTTGGGGAAAATAATGATAACACGGATCAATCGAGAGTCGTGTATAGCACTTTCAGATTGAATATTTTGGTTGTTTAATCCAAAATTCAATCGGATAAAATTCAAAAGTAACAAGAACGAGTATGAGATTGTTGTGAGTTTTTGAACAGTTTTTTGACCAAAAGTTTTCGGGAATTTATAGAGTTGCAGAGGAGAAGAAAAGATGTGATCGTGTCTTTAATCTAAGACGCGCGATCCTTCGCGCAAAATATTTGAAGAAATCGGTGCTATCATTTAACGAATTTTCCTTTTAAAGAAAATTCGAGAAATAAAAATTCAAATGAAATTTTAACATAGCACTTTGCCCAAAATAAAAAATTTTTGAGCTGACCCGGGGCTCTGCCCCCAGGGGTTGCCAACCCTTGAACCCTACTCGGGGGCGCTGCCCCCGAACCCCTACCAAGGAGGCAGCGCCCCCTTGGAACTACGTTAAAACGGGACTTTTATCCTAACAAACTCAACGAAGCATGCACTCCGCACTACCAAACTTCTTTGATGATTATTAGGATACCACTGGTCATAGTTTTTCCAATTACACTAAAATATATAACACATCATTTCTCCGGTACCACTTTCAACCACTCAATTTTACTTTTTTTAATCTCAGTGTCCGATGTGGAACATTAATACGGGACCGAGGGAGCATACAAATTCCAATTTCACTTTCCTGACACTTTTCTTAAACTCAATAAATTTGCAAAAAGAATTGTTGTAGTGTAGCTGAATCTAAGATGCATGTAATGGAACTGAGGATAATTACAATAATGGAACTAACATTTCCTCACTATGACTCAAACTTCAAGGAATTTGAAAGAGAAAAAGAAAAGAAAACGGTATGCAAGGCGTACCGGTTTCGGGGTTGTAGACAGACCAGAGCTTCTTCTTGAACTCTAGGTCGGCGAGGAGGATCCGGACCCAGACCCGGGTCTCCCGCCCGGTCTTCTTACTCCTGGAGTTGAGTATAGAACCGCCCACGCCGGAAACCAGTAGGATCGGGTCCCGGTCGGCCACTGCGCCGTCGTCGAGACATTGTTGACCCAGAAAGCAGCAGCGGCCGCTGTTCCAAAACATTTTGGTTCGGACTTCGGATACAGGGATGGTCGGCGGTTCGACCGACTTCTAAATACTAGTGGACCGGTTGGATGGTTGAAAAAAATATTTAGAAGTTAGAACTGACCCTAACCCAGTTTATTTTAAACGGTTCGATTTTACGGGCTTGCGGATTTTTGAGCTTTTTTATTAAATTAAGAATTTAAAATATATCACAAATAAATTGGCAATATATATGAGAATAGTCAATAGAATAATACATTTTTGAAAATAACTAATCCATGACATTCATAAACAAAATAAAATTAAATTATAATATTCAACCAATAAAGAACATTCACCAATTGAAGTTGTAAAGCGTATGGCCGTAAATGGATAACCGAAAATTCGATTACCGTCTTCATCCGTATTTGTTTGTACGGAAAATATCCGCATCCGTTAAAAGCAGTTACTATCCGTATCTGGTTAAAGATATCCGATTGGTAAACGGATACGGATTTGGTAATCAGACATCTGATCCGTTTATAATCCACTCCGCATAGATATCCGTTTAAGTAACTATTTATCCGTTATATGTAATTTTTCTTAATCTTTTATTATTATACTCCCTCCGTCCACAAATAAACTTTACATTGCGCGTTACGATGTTTGATTGAGGTTATTTTCAAATCATATGAAAAATGATGTAAAATTAAAAAATAAAAATTACATATTAAAAAACTATATCAAAAGATCTACAAAACTAAAAGTGACATGATTATATTATTTTATTAAATGAGTGACGAAAATAGGCCAACAAAGTGAATAAAGTTTGACCCTATGAATAGTGAACGTAAAGTTTATTTGTGGACGGATGGAGTATTTTTTTATAGATATCTCAAAGAATAAGACATTTGAATATGCAAAATATATGTATAGACATATAAAAATATGTGTGTATGTGTATTGCATATATCTTTTTACCATATGGAATTGTCGTAAAATATTATAAATTATAAAAAATAAGAAAAATTACTCCGTAACAAATTACAATTGAATAAATAATATTTTGACTTTAATTTAATTGCAAATTAAAGTATTCATCAATTTAACTTAAAAAATTGGAAACAGATACAGATATATCCGATATTTGGCCGATATCCAACGGATGCAGATACACTTTTGATTTTTAGTATCCGTTAAGATCCATATCCAAATTCGATATTCGATAAATATAAATGGATACGGAACTGGTAATGTCACATTCGATCCGATTAATATCTGTTTACACCCCTAGTAAAACATATAAGAAAAAATGTGATTGACTACTAAAGTTTACTAATTTTGTTTTATATATATAATTTTATTAATCGAATATTGACTATACCATATAGAACTTATTTTTAATACAATTTGATGGAAAGATTGAAATGCAACATTGAGTATACTTCAATTTATTTAATACTTTAATTTCTATATTTATATTTTAATTAAATTATTGGAAACTTGCCGGGATGGATCTACTTGTTTTTAAATTTTTAGAACTAGCCCGACTTGTTTTTTAAAGGACTTGCCTCGGTCCCGGTCCGAATGGATGTGTGAATTTAAATTACTGTTCTAAAAGACATAAATTTATTACATTTGTAATTGTGATAAGCTTCCGCAACTTGAGATACTCTGTTATTATTCTGAATAATTTATTATAAAATAAAGTTTTAAAATGTTTGAAATAATTTGAATGTTTACTAATACAAAGTTTATACTTTAGTCCAAAAGAGGCTGCAGGCCTTGACGAATTAAGGTGTTATAATTTGGTATCGGAGCAAATGGTTTTAAACCCGATCTTCAGATCAAAATCTGATTTACATACACACACACACACACACACATGTGTGTGTGTGTGTGTGTATGTATGTATGTATGTGTGTGTGTGTGTAATTAAAATAAATTACTACGCTAAAATACTACGTTGTGCTTGTGGAAATTTCAGTAAAATAATAAATTAAATATTAATTAATTAGATCTTAAATTTGGAAATAAAAATTCATGGTCCTATTCAAGGAAAATGACTATGTTTATGTCCTATTTAAGTAATTTTATATATTGTCTCTACCATATATGAGTTGTGTAAATTTTTAGAAAAACCTATAAAATAAAATGTTTGTGAAATGCATTTAGAGCCCGTTCTTTTGGTTTTAAACTCTTAATTTCGAGTTTCTTTCAGTTCTCTCCATTGTCTTTCAGTTCCTTCTACCTTCTTCCAGTTTTTCGAGTTTCTTCCAACTAATTTCATTTTCTTCAAACTCTTTCTACTTCCCAACCAATTACTCTAAAAATGATAGATTTTTAATGTGATTATTATTATTATTATTATTATTATTATTACAACTGTTATGTTCATAACTATAATTTATAAATTATTTTTTTCATCTCACTATTTTTATGATTCACACTCATTATTTTTTCTTCAACTTTTTAATATGAATAAGACAATTTTTTGTATATTAATCTACATGATAAAACAGAAAAATATCAATATTGTAAACTATATTAAAAAATTATGGATAAAATAGTTACATAGAATGTTTTATTAATCTAACTTTATATAAGACCCATCACCTTTCCATTTATTAGTCAAATTTTTCTCATTTTTCTTATTTTTATAAAAAAATTGAAAGTCGAAATAATTTAGAGAAAAAGACTAAAATAGGAGTAAAACATAAAAAATGTAAAAAAAAAAGTTATATGTCTTAATCCCAAAAGTACGAGTTACAATAAAAATAAAATGTCAATCATACAAGAAAATATAAATTTGATTACGTTATGTGACCTATCTAATATTTAAAAAAAATCTTGCAATATATAAAGTTTTATTACAAATATATATTTTTTATAATAAATAATGCATAAATAAATTAAGGTGCAACGTAACCACAAAAATTTTTTAAAAATTAACATTTTTATATTTATGCTAACTTTATTTTATAATTACTGCGGAGTATTTTTTTGCAAAAGTTGTTTTTTGTGTATGAAAATTAACAATACTTTTTATTTTAAAGGAATTCATTAAGATAGAATGATGATGATGACGACGATGATGATGATAATAATTTATAATAACAAGAATTAGAATGTGAATTATATAAAAATACACTCAAAAAATTTTTTCTAAAACTTTTTAGGTTTTTCAATTTTTTGAAATATTTCTAGGTTCTTCCAGTTTCTTCCCGTTTCTTCCAGTTCTTTCCAGTTCCTTCAAGTTCCTTCTAGTTTTTTCGGGTTTCTTCCAGTTCTTCCATTTCCTAGCTTCCAATTTCTTCTAGTTCCTTCCAGTTTCTTCCAACATCCAGCTCCTTTTTTCCAGTCCTAAGGAACATGTTCTTATTCTATGAACTTTCAAAATAGTTTAAAGTTAAAAATAAACATTATTTGTTTTTTATCGTAAATTCATAACAAATTATTTATACCCACACATTGTTTCTCTCTTGGTATGAGTGGTAGTAGAGGCATTAACTATTTAGCTTGTTGCGCTTCATTAGGTTAAGAAAGTATGAATCGAAGCCACATTCAAACCGAGTTAATAATACTAAGAAAAATATACCTAAACATATACTCCCTCCGTCCCAAAAAGTCTTTCCTGTTTACTATTACGGCCTCTCGATAACTCTAATTTGTTTGCGTGTTTTCATTGATCATTTGATAAAATAAAATATTCTTGACGCCTCTTATTTTGTAGAGTTTTCGATGTAGTTTTTAAATATAACTTTTTTATGTGTTATTTTCTTACCAATTTTCAAATAAAATCATTTTAAAATCTACGGGGTTTTGCACGTTAATCAAAACAGGAAATTCTTTCTGGGACGGATGAAGTATCATTTTATAATCTGTAAAAATAAAAAACCACTAATAATAATAGACTATAGAAAGTATGAAAGAGTATACAAACAATAACATGGACAAAGTAGACTTAGAAAATAAAGAACACAAATTTAACTACTTTTATTAACTAGAAATTTATATAGTAAGACAATCTTTTATTTTAAGTATACTTGGTTGGGTCGCTTGCCCAAGTTGATTGGATCATTGATCCAAGTTGACCAATTCAATCGGTACACCATTGATCTAGTTGTTCGTCCGAGTCGACATTTGGTCTACTTTCCAAAACATTGGAGAAAGAGAGGTTGGTGCCCATACGGGAAACTTAACTGGTCTCAGAGTTGAAATATGGATCAAAAGACTAAGGATCGAGTCTCACTAGCGTCAGTGTGAGAGCAACCTCTTAAAAAATCAGGGAGGCTCGTTGCGGCTTGCGGGCAGTGAGCACTAATCCCAACCTCAGTTACCAGTTGAGTCACCACGATTTACATGCATCTTCTCATAATCCATTGAGAAGGGAGTTATATAATTACATTTAAAGTTATTTTTGATCTGATCTAATTTTAATAAAAATAAGTTGGGAAGAACATGACCGAGTTGGTTGAGGGGCATCACATGCGCCATAGAAAGAATGTTTTTACTCAAGATTGTTTTTTTTGGCCTATTCGGTTCAAATGACCTTTTGTTTTTTTTATTTTTGTTCAATGCACATTTATTTGTGGGGTTCAATGTACGACTTTTTTTTTAATTTTTTTAATTAAAGCATGTACCTCGAATGATCTTTTTTTGGGTAGAATATACCAATAAAACGGTGAAAAAACATGAATATAAATACTAATTGAACCCAGGGTGTTGTTATATCCAATCTTATTTTAGCTAATTAATTCACTTCTTTTGTGTGAAGTAAACAATTTTGTCCTTACAAAATACACAAAAAAAATAGAATATAGGTGCAAGCCAATTTTTCAAGGCAAATAATGTCATTTTAACATAAATGAAGTGCATTTAGTTAAAATGAGAGTGGATACAACAATACCATTGAATCAAATGGTAACAAAATAAAAACAATTGAACCAAATTTAAACCCATTTGTTTTCAACCAAACAAACAAAAACTGAATTTGAAGAAATATTGTTGAAGGGTAGAAATTGAAATTTAAAAACTTAAACC